AAGGAAAATGAAAAAAAATGTCGTTATCATTCCACTCCTCTCCCTTTCCTTCAAATATGTCAAACCAAACATATTTGAAGGTATATTGCGTGGGGTGTTAGAATAGAATTATGGTTATCTGATGTTATCCGCTTGGGCTTCTAGAACAAGTCTGTCTTTTTCAAATTTCAAGATTTTTTATTTTTTATTTTTGAACATATTGTAATTATTTATAAATTAATTGAGAGATGAGGAAAACGGTTTCGTAAGACTCAATGTATAACTTATAAAAAATAAACAGTTTTAATTAACGATCCAATATCACTAGGTCAGAACAGGGTGTTTGAAGATTTTTTATTTAACTAAAAAAATTTTAGTGAATACTATTAAAATACTTAGAAAGTGTAAAATTTTTAATTTAGTGAATAATTTTTTAAAATATTAATTAAAAGATAAATTTTTAAATAAAAATTTTAAAATTTATTTTAAGAAGACAATTTACAAAATATATATTTTTTTATTTTTTTAATTATTTTTGGTGGACAGTGAACAGGTCGGCACAATATTTTTAATGTATATATGTAGTAATTTTACAAATAATAATCTTTTTTTTAAAAAAACTATTATAATAAAAAAACAACAACAAAATTTGACACCAACAACATTGACTTTCTCATTACATGAGATCGATCACACCAACCATGATGTTGTTGTCCAATGTCCTGCGTTGACTTAATCTAATAATGATATTCTTTAGACAAATTGCTAGAAAAGAAAGAAATTTTTTTAAACTAAAAATAAGTTTAGAAACTGAAAAAAATAAAAATACCATAAAAATAGAACAGAAGTATGGTGTTAAATAGTTTAGTTTATTTCAAATTACACAATATCGAACTCCACTAAGTAACCTGATGGACCGCGCATCTCATTAGAGGAGGTGAGATGTTCACTAGATTTAAGGATCGAATCTTCAGTTAGTAACAACTAATAAAACTAACTTACTAACCATTGCTCTTATAAAAAAAGAAAAAAATTACACAATACCTGCTTGATCTGGTGGAGCCCTCATTGTTATTTTATTACTTCTATTATTGTGAAAAAAAAATAATAATTTCAATGGTTTAAGAAAATTTGTTTCCTTTGAATTCAATCAATTGTGCGAAAAATACACAACTCTTAGGGGAAACTTTATTTTATCCCATCAAGATTTAGAAACATAAGATTTTTTTATTTTATTTGGGATGGTAGGATCCCCCAATTTAAGTTAAAATTATCATCATTACTCAAGGTCTAAAAGAGAAGGAAAATGATTAAGAATAATTTTTGTTATATAATTTTTTCATATAATTAATAATTAATGTTTGGTTAAAACTCCATTTTGGTTTCTGAATTATTGTATGGACTCTTGATTTGGTTTATGAACTAAAAAAATTACTGATTTTGTCCCTACTGCTGTTTACCATTTTAACATTGATTTGGCTATTTTGTTAAAATTTTCACCTTAATTGACGGAAGAAACATAGACAGGTTGGCAAAAATAAATGACATGGAATTCCAACTCATCCCACAAAAAAAAAAAAATTCCTTTTTTTAGTTTTTTTTTTTCATCATTTCTCCCTTTTTTCTTTCCCTTTCTTCAACTTTTGCAAATTCTAACATCTCAACCAATCTTGACCCTTACTGGTTTTTTCATCATCATCAAACAACAAAACCCACAAACAAAAAAAAAAAGAAAGAAATTTTTTCTAATTTTTTGTCACTGGGTTTGAAAGAACCCGCGGCTAGGTTCCATGGAACCCAAGCATGTTGGGTTCCATTGAACCTAACTGCTGTTGGGTTCCAAGGGGAGAGAGAAAATGAAAGAGAAGAAAAAAAATATAAGAAAGATTTTTTTATTTTTTATCATATTATTTTTTTTTCACATCATTATTTTTGCCATGTTGTATTTTCACATGTATTAAAAATTGATATGTCATCATATAATAGTGAATTGACAAGACACATTATGTGATTTTTAACAGAAGGATCAAATCGGGGTTAAAATGATAAACAGTAAGAATCAAATCATGAATTTTTTTAGTTCAGGGACCAAATCGGATCTATATAATAGTTTAGGGACCAAAATGAGGTTTAAACCTTAAGGTTTTTTAACTCTACACTTATGATATTGGACAAATAGTTTACAGGTATATTATTACCAAAATGAAAAACGGAAAATTACCAAGGCCAAAATAGGAAAGAAAAAGGTGTTCGGATATCTAAAAAATTAAAAAGAAAAAAGTTATAGATTTATGAAATTTTAATAAATTTTTATTTAAGAAAATTAAGAGACTATTTGAATTAGTTTTTTTTAATAAAATTAATAGTTAATAATAATTATTTATAGTTTAAAATATTTAATTCATTTTATTAAGATTAATAACTAATAACTATTTTTAAAAGATCAAAACAAATACCTCCTAAAATAATCAATTTTTAATAAACAAATGAAAGTAAATATTAATTTTCATTTTTTAATATTAATTAATATAAAAAATTAATTTTTATTTTTTAATAACAATTAATATGAAAAAAAGTAAAATAATAATTATGCTGGGACTTCTATGACAATAATATTATATAAATAAGTAGTAAAAATGAAAATAAAAACCAAATTACCAAGGTCAAAATAGGAAATATGTAACGGAGAAAACCAAGAAAGCCCAAATGGGGAAGGGATTAAACAAACAAACAAAAAAGAAAAGATATATTCTCTGCAACTGAATTAATTAAAATTTGAAAATTTAAATACAGAGAAAAAGGAGAGAGAGATCGCGGTGTTTTGGGTATATCGGAGAAGGCAGCGTGTGGGGGAAGGAAATCGCAGGGAAAGTCGGAGGTAATATTGTATTCCCAAAACCATCGCCGATGCTTTACTTTCATCAGTAATGCCTTTTTGGTTTTGATTTCAGGGTTTTTCTCTTGTCTTTTTCTGAGGAAGAAGGCGGTGGCCGTCGGTGCTGACTCCGACATTGGCTTCCTTTCGGAGAGTTTTTCCGGTTGCAGCGGCGGTTTTTACCAAGACAGGTAGTGAACCCTAGTACTCTGTGTGCTGTGTGCATTGTGTTGTATTGTTTGGATTTGAGAGGAGGTGGCGACTGGAATTTGTCCGATTGATTCAGTGGATGGTGTGGGAATAGATGCGTTTAGGTCTTATTTTGTATCTGTGTTGCAAATTTTTGCTGTTTACTTCTGGATTGATATCTTCGGTTCTCGGAGTCGCTTTCT